ATATAATTTCGGTACATCAATGAGAGACCATTGACAATGTTGCGGCACATTCCGAACTAACATGTATAAATGTGAAACAAGAATTTGCATATTTCATAGTTTTTCATATTATTGCCTGCCATTTTGAGTTTCAGAAAAAAAAATGAGGATTCAGAAATATGTTTGAATAGCAGAGTTAATATGGTTTTTTTAGAGGGCCTCTTAACAGATCGTCTCCGGGGGTTGTTGACTGACCAGGGCATGCGTCTTTAGTGAGTTAATCTACGTGGTCATCCGCTGTCCAGCTTCTACTGTCTGTCCTCTTTTCTGTAAAGTTCATGTGTGAGCTTTGTGCTTTGATGGAAGATATCATTTTGTCGGCCAACTGTTCAGATATGCTCAGCCCAAAATTTTGATTCTTTATTTTTTTTTAAAGTAGATCTACATACATTGCTTACAATTTTTGTATTTCTTTTTTTGGGGGAGGCGGTTGTTTGTGTCTTGTTTCGTTGGTGTTGCTTTTGTTTTGTTGTTGTTTTTTGTTGCTGTTTTATGGGGGGAGGGGGGTGTTTGTTCCTTGATATGTTTCTTAGCTTCCAAAAGACCCGTCCGTCGTATTTGGAATTCTTAATCTAGGAGGAGTTAATTCCTCTCTCCAACTCTTGAACTCCTGGTGTAGAGTGTGGTGGATTGTTTGTCACGATTTCCAAGTCGCAGACTGTTATTTTTATACACAAAAATGGCTTTTCCGCCTTTTACTTTGTTACGAACTGGACCCACACACACCTAGTTCGGATTTAATCCCAGCACTTATTGCAGTGATTTTTCCTCAAATCGCCATTTCACGCCATTTGAAGGTGGCAGTCAGATTTTGTGCGATAGAGGGGAAAAGGCTTAGCATTCAGTCACAATCTGATCCGATCTGCCTCAAACAAACTGGAAGTTTGATTTCCTAGGCCACGATTGGGTGCATTTGATGAAAATCCTGGCAAATCAGAGAGCCGCTACACGTGTCACATGACATTGTGGAACGAGATGCTTTGCTTTCGCACGCGTGATGCTATAATGTACTGTCGGGTAAAATTTGATAAAGAAAAAAAAATATTAATAAGAGGTCTATTGAATACGGTGTGTACTGGCCAGTGCTTTTTCCCGCCACTACCTGATCCATTCTGACCATGCAGATCGGGCCAATCTGACCAATGGGAATCCCTTCTTAGAGTTCAAGACTATTCTCGCCCCTTCTGGAATGTTCGTTCTCTTCTGGGAACTCCGTCAGCTCAGTTGGCATCGTGCTGGTGAAGTCTGAAGTCTACGACGAAGCGGATGTTCCTGGTTCGAAACCCAGACTGGCCTATCTTGAACTCGGATCGCTTGTGGAGTTTTCGAGGTTCTCAACCCCTTTGACTCTCCAATCGGAGACAGACGGAAACTTCAGAGGCCCCGCTTCTTAAATGAGTTAATAATGTTGATAGGTGCGTTAAACCTATACGCCGAGTTACTTTACTCTGCCGTGCCCGGATAAGGAGCCATGGTACTCCACCTTCAGAACGATCAAGCTTGTGCTTTCGTCCCTTGGGCAAATAAAGTAATAGTAATTATTGTCCTTCCCTCGTCCTCTTCGTACAATATCTTTCATGTGAAATTACTATTATATGTGAAGGGGCTGGATTATTTTTTAAAACACGTACAGCCTGTAAGGACAGGTCAAACAATTAGTTGACATGAAAACAGTTACACAGAGCACATATTTATTAAAACGGTAAAGACATTTTTTTTTCAAAGAACAGATCTCAGAAGGACATAAAATTGAAGTTTGTAACGCTGACGACAAAGATCGTTTCACATGAAGCTTAATAGAATAGAAATCACGTTCTCAAAAGCTTTGAGTTTTTAACGACATCATTTGAGACATGAAGTTTTTTTTTATTAAAAAGTTACACTGCTACAAATAACAAACATTCAATGGTAATAAAGCTTCATTCTCATCGTTTTAACTCCCATTAATGCCCACCTCTTTGGGTGTTTGCCTAATTTATTTTACCTACTTCCACCCGAATCCCTTTCTTCCGATTCAGTACATTAAACTTCTTTAATTTTATACTTTTAACCTGAGCAATATTTCTTCTAAGGTTTCCATTTCCGTCCTTTGAAAACGAATTCTGGAACAGTGCAAGAATATTCCAGAAACCAGACTATAGACACACACTATTATTTATGAGATGAGGCGCACAGATAAAAAATGTCAACAAAATTGAACTAAAATATGATATCTTATTTGGATTATAAAAGCGTACAGCCTGAAATCATTTCCCTCAACTCAACAACTGCAAAACCTCCATCAACAGAGAGATGCCTCGCCCATCTGGTTTGCCACTCCCACGGTCGTTGTAGCTTTATCCTTTAAGCCTCATTAGACTCAATTTAGATCATTTAGAGGGAGCTCTGCTTTAATCCTCTCCGTCAGGGCCAACTTGAGCTTACATGGATACAAGGTCCTAGCAGAGACCCCAGCAGACAGACGGAGAGGCTCCATAAAAAAATCCCCCCCCCCCCACCCAAAGGAATCGAACACACGTCTTCTACTTGCGATGACGAACAGCCAAATCTCTACACCACAGACGCCATTTTCTGACAGGGATATCAATTATTTGAGGTGTTGTAAGGAAATGATGTCACGCTTACGTTTACTTACACAAAGTGCATCACAGTAAAAAGAATATCACCGGTGTGTCAAGCACATGCACAATAGAGAAAGAGTAAAAACCTCTACTTTTCTAGAGTAGAACAAAAACCTTCTATTACACACTGCTCGAACATACTCGTCATCATCATCACTGGCTTTCTCACCCTGGATCAGGATATAGGCCACGAACAAACACCTTCCACCTTTCCCTATCCTGGGCTAGCTACTTGATGATATTCCATGTCTTCCTACTTTTCTGTACATACCCATACATTGATTTAAAAAATTACAAAAAATCCGCATGCATTATAATAAACAGGTATGTTGACATCAAAATTTAAACCAACAATACACACTTAAAAACACAGTTGGGCCTAGAAGGCATGGTTATGATTAACTATTCGTAATGCAATATTTGAGTCTACTCATCGGGCATCGGGTAAAGCGGTACAAATTAATACTGCGTAGTTATAAACGAAATATATCAGTAGTTACCCCAGATGGTGCAGTTGATAAAACTTTTATGTTATGCATTGATACCTCAGCACGCAAGCCTCTACGTATTTCATGTACTCCCGTTTTTTTCTTTCCGACAAAGTTTTTTTAAAAAAACACACGCCGGCTGTTGTTGTGAAGACCCTCTCGCTCACAATCAATGCACGGGCGTTCTTGGTTCAAATCCGAACAGGATCCAAAACGTTCTTCTCTCTGCAGATTAAGTCCTCCTAAAACCTTCTCAAAATGGACTTTTCTGTTCTGTATAAGATTTACATTTCAACGTTTTCTTAATAAGCAAAAAGAAACTAATTCAAATGTAGTTTAGAAAGTTATAGCGAACAAACTAGACACGTAGGTGTAGCAAAAAACACAAAGACCTAGAACGTTTAGGTATATCATTATTATGTACATAATATCTTGCAGTTGTAGCAAGAAGAAGAGCAATCTTCGTGGTGAAGCCAAGGGGGTGAATATGGCGTTTGGCTGTGTTGAAATTCTTTGCTCTCATAGAGCGCTAAAATTCCAGTCGAAATGTACTGTGAATATACAGACAATCAAACAAGCAATGAATAAATGAGTATTCAGGATGAATGTATTATAGAATAGGTAAATGAATAATAAATCAATTAATAGAAAAATAAATAAAAAGGAAAGGCAAACTTTGGGTTTCCCTTTGATTAAGTACACGAGTATATAAAAAAAACAACTAAATGACTGATTTTTTCAAAGCAAAGTTTTCATAGTGATGTGTGAATCTCTAAACAAAAGGCAGTGCTATCCCAGTGTATGTATAACATGCATAATGTAGGTGTCATTCACGCTATCTACACCCTTTACAAACGGAACATACCTGAAGTGCGTTCTGGTGTCTATATTATATCCTTCATATTATCCGCCTTCTCCTTTGAAGTGTCAGAAGAAAGAGTATCCTTTTCTGTCCTTTGTGAGCTGCTCTCCTTTCCGCTTGCATTTGCTTAAGAGAATAGAGAAAACAAAACAACCAGGCAACATGAATTTGTTTCGTTTCAGTTTGGGTAAAAGTTTTAGGCGCTTGCAACTGCATAAGGTGAGTTTTTTTCTACAGAACTGATAAATTGTTTAATTTATGTAATACTTTTGGGATTTGTAGACAGAAAGTTTTCAATAAGTGAAGGACTACACGTTTTATTGATGCTCCTTATTTGCATGCGACCACAAAACAAGTAAACTTGACTTTTTGTCTTCACAAATTATTACTGCATATTAAAGAATTATAAACTTTAGCCGATTTACAACAAACGTAACTACTGCTACAGCAACTTTTGTTTGTGTTGTGAGCGTACTCTAGACCATGAAAGACATTGTCATGTATATTTTTCTAATAGAATATTGTTATAAAATGTGACTGTGCAACAGGAAGGCTAAAGTTTGGCCGTATGTGGTAAAGCAGAGAAAGGAAGAGAAGGGAAAGTGTCTACAGATATTACAGAACAAATTTTTTAAAAATAACAGATGTTACCTTACAACACTGAAGAGATCATCTCTAGTATTTTTAGTTTTAGAACTTGAACGTTCTTATTATTATGATATAACGTTATTGTTCTAAAAAAAAACCCATTTGTTTTATCTTTTAAAAAGCAGTAATAATGAACACAACTCAAGGAAAAGAGAGAAACGAATGATAAGAAATGGATTCTAAAATTTGGAATTGTTCGTAATTTATGGGATTAGAAAGGCAACGGTATAGGACACTGCAAGTGCAAAGGACAGAGATAAGATAGTGCCAAAACCGAGCCGCAAACAAACCTGTTTTTGAAAAGGCTGTGCCAGTTTTGAAGTAGTTTTGCTTGATTTCATCCTGCGCACGATAAAAGAAAATTGATCAGAATATCATCTGCAAGATAATCTAACTATAGTTATATTATACAGAGTATTGTGTTTACAGATGTGAACAACTCTAGATAATATTCGAAATGTTACAGGTAGGTCTTATACGCTGTATTTCCTTTAGGGGTGGGGGAGGGGAGTGCCTTTGGTAGGTCCTGCTTCTTTACTTTCCCTATTTGTTCCTGTCCGTACGCCGTCAGTTTTGGGTTGTTTGATTTTTTCAAATTCTAGAATGATTTTTTTTCAGCGTCGATGAGCTTTTTTTTTACTCAAACTCAAAATCAAACTTCTGTTTTTAGCGGCAGATATTTGTTGTTGTTTGTTTTTTTGTTTGTTTTTTTGTTTGTTTGTTGTTGTTGTTGTTTGTTTTTGTTGTTTTTTTGTGGGGTTTTTTGGGGGGGGGGCTTTGTACTTTCTTTTTTCAAATAAGATTATTTCGTGGGCAATCATTTATACAAGTCACCTCCCTTGAGCAGTCAGCCACTTGCGTGTGTGTCAAGGGCTGCTTTGTGTGACGTCCCTTTGGGTAAATGAGAAGTGGACTCTACATTCTAACGTTCAGAAACGATGGGACTGAGGCAGCATGCAGAAAAACAGTATCGCTTAAATCCCGAGATTCTGACCGAATTGAACACTACACCTTCAGGCCATAACGTAACTGCCCAATCGTTATAATTAGTCACATCTGCATTTAGGGGGCTGTCTCCGACATTGTCCATCGAGATGGAAAGTCGAGCCACAATGAGGTAACGGAAAGCAATGTGGATGTTCCTAAAAGGACAAGCTACGATGGAAAAGTGTGTCCATTCAAATACCTCAAACATCGTGTCAAACATGTAATATATAGGGATAAAAATGTTTTGTTCTACTCCCCTGGAACTTGAAAGAAATTAAATTCTGTAACGTATTTGATGACTTGAAGGCACGAAAGAGTTTGAAGGAGAAAACAATGAATCCTTCGATCACAATAAGGGTAAGTAATTCGTTAACACAAACATATACTCACACACAGAGACAATGAAAGAAACAAAGTCGGAGAGAGACAGACAGACAGACAGACAGACAGTCAGACAGACAGACAGACAGACAGACAGACAGACAGACAGACAGACAGGCAGACAGACAGACAGAGAGACAGACAGACGGAGAGAAGGGGTAGAAAGGGAAGAGAGTGCAGGCAATTGAAAAAGAAAGAGAACGACAGTCAGAAAAAACATATATACATACAGACGGACAGAAAGACAGACAGACATATACACACACATACAGATACACACACACAAACACACACACACACACACACACATACATACAAACACACACAAACGGAGACAGACCCATTTCTTCCTGATAACAGGCACTGTGTAAAGGACAGGGTTCAAGGCCGAGTTGATGGGTACCACCAGAACTGCGGACCAAGCGTAAGTGTCCTTGGAGACTTCGTGGCCATTCAGCGCCAGCAGACCTAGGCGAATAATACACAAGTACAGTCGAAACTGTCTAAGACGGTCACCCAATTTCCAGGGGAAAAGTGGCCATCTTAGACAGGTGAATGTCTTACACAGTGTTATTATTATGTTTTAAAAAACGCAAGAGCGGACACAGGGAAGTGACAGTTTGTACACGTAATTGTTATTTGCAGGTTGCTGTTAGAGCAGGTTAAATTGTATATTAAGGTGAGTTAGTAAAAGTTAGAGACGGGCGGGAAGCACTTTTTCCTTCCCGAGCGAGAAGACCGAGAAGCTGACCGGTACCGGTCCTGAGAAGAGCTTCTCGTCTCGTGACCTAATTCTCGTCTCTCGCCGTTGGACGAGCAGCTCGCTTAGCAAAAGGGTCGGTCGTGACCGGGATCTAAACTAGGCTAGCCCTGTTGCGCAGGTGCAGGCGGTGAAGGAAGGTAGGGAGACCTTGGCCTTGGTCTAAGCCCTGATCAACTCCCCACTCGCCTCGCCTCGCCTCGCCACCCTCTCCCCTCCCTTTCAGTTTCAGACAGAGGGCGGCACGGTAATGGGTGACACTGTCTGCGTTGTCACTTCTCGCTGGCTGTGCCGCTCTTTCCGTCGACCCCTCTCATTCTCTCACTCTCGTTACTCATTATGTCAAGCCAACGAGCGGTATCACTTCTCGGTACCGGCCAGTAGTTTAGTGGCCGGGAAGTGACGGGAAGGGCATTTCTCGTGAGAAACGGGTACTCTTCTCAGCTCGTGCCCGCTTCTAGTAAAAGTCTACTTGGGCCCTCCATTCGAAACTTATTTGACCTATTACGCACATCCAGAGTTGCAGTGATGCCATTCGAGAAAGCCCTTTTAACTTATGAATAGGGTCGAAATGTATTTTTTATTTTATACCGGTGTGCCCAGGCCACACGCTAGCTGGGAATCCATAAGACAAAATGACAACGAAACTGGGCCATAACCGAAACAGACACAAAAATCACCTCAGCAAGAATTTCATGGACATTTGAAGGTTTCAAGCGATTGGTGACCCGGGGGAGGGGGGTGGAGGGGAGACCAGAATAACAGCTAGAGAACTTTTTTGAGAGAAAATAGTGTTGAACCATGATTGCTGATGTCTGTTTCAGATCTTCCACTTGGGGAAAAAAAAGGGAAAAAAGACATGAACACAGAGGGTGAACTGCATAATAGAAACTCGTTGTCAGCGCATGTCTCGCCCGCTCTCCGTTATTTCGTACAAACAACTCTCTAGGACCCAGAGTATTTATTATATATACAAATTATAACTCCAGAGCAGGCCGGGCATAATTGAACTGGGGAGTTGTCCGGCGACTTTTATAAGATAGAAACGCCCCC